CCCCACCTCCTTGCCGGGTGCTCTCAGATCAGCCGTCACTGTCTTCCCCTCGCGGCCCCCAGGGAGGGCAGCTTCCGCCCTGAAACTTGGAAGATAATAATAGCTAACACCAGCACTTTTTTAATGCTTTATAAGTATTTTCTTATTTAATTCATAATCATCTTAGATGAGTCCAGTGACTATCCCCATTTTCTATCAGAGGAAATTGAGGATCAGAGAGGTTAAGTAACTTGCTTGAGGTCACCCAGGAAGAACACAAGAGGATTTAAGATTTTCAAAACCACAAAAAAAAGTTCTACGGGTTCCAGCAAAGATGTGTTGGGAGCCCGGATAAACACCTCGCAGCTCCATCCTCAGGCCTCCTGCTGCTTGCAGGCTGGGTTGTGTCTGCCTGATGCCTCCTGGGCCACCTGGTCTACCAGTTTTTCTAGACAAATGCCCACGGCCTCTGTTTTTCTCAATCAAGCTGCACAGGCCATTCCTGGCCCCTCCCACTGGGTTCTGGTCTCTTGTGTCCTTAGCCAGGGCCCTCCACTGAGATTGGTCTTCGTCCTGGAGCATAGGGACTGAGCCTGAGTTATCTCAGTACCCTAAGCGCCTGGCACAGCTTCACGCTACAGCCACTGTGAACCCTGGGGCCTCACTTGCCACCAGCTGTATGCATTCCCTCAGGGCTTTGCGGGAGCTGCTTCCTCCACAGCAGAGCTGGCCCCGCCCCCAGCCCTGCATCCCACTGACCCTCCCCCCCACCCCCCACCCCCGCCTGTTCTGTTTCTGGTCTTATTTTTCATTATGAAGAATCTAGGGCCGGGGTGTGGCTCAGCGGTGAAGTGTTTGCCTCACATGTGTGAGGCCCTGGGTTTGATCTTCAGCACCACATAAAAATGTATGTAATAAAGGTACTGTGTCCACCTACGATTTACACACATACACACACACACACACACACACACACACACACACACACACAGGCAGACAGGACCCAGCATGCTCGTAGCAGGAAGACACAACCCAGTAGCATTCTTTATATAAAGAATCTAAATTTAGGGCTGGGTGACCGCATGCCTGTCATCCCAGCAGCTCAGGAGGCTGAGGCAGGAGGATCGCAAGTTCAAAAGCAGCCTCAGCAACTTAGTGAGGTCTAAGCAACACAGTGAGACCATATCTCTAAATAAAATACAAACAGGGCTGAGGATGTGGCTCCGTGGTTAAGCACCCCTGGGTTTGACTCCTAGTACAAAAAAAAAATGTAGAACAGATGCAAAACTAGATAAAACAATCTAATGCACCCATCAATCCACCACCCAGACCCAGCAACCCCCACCTCTTCAGTCCCCTCCCCAAGCCACCTCGACTGTGCCTTCTCTTGTCATTTTGAAGCAAATCCCTGACATCACATGCTTTCCCCACAGATATTTCAGTGTGTATCTCAAAGATGAGGGCGCATCATTCAGTAAATAAATAAAAATACACATACACACAAGTGTATCTGCATACCTACTGATCACAGCGACACGGTTTTACATGTACATGTGTTTTACATGTGATCACGTGTGTACATATGAAAGATACTACATCATCGTACCCAACAGAGGTTCAGCAACAACCCTCAATCTAATTGAATATCTAGAAAACATTCTGAGTGCCAGTTCTTTATAAATGCCACCATTAAAAAAAAAAAAAATCAGGGGACTCAAATAAGGCGCGACATTTCCAACGAGCCACCTCGGCCTGGACTCACTTGGTGTCCACAGGTCCGTCCGGTCCGTCTCCTGCGCGTCACAGTTCTTGAGAACACGCGTTACTGGCCCCGTCGGTCTCAGGGGGGAATCTTGCCATTGAGGTATGGTCCCCTGATTCCTATCAGCGTCCTTTAGGCCTAGAGCCCTGAAGGCCACTTCTTCTGGATGTCCTCCTGGGCCGGGGCAGCCTCCCTGCCTGGTGCTCCAGGCTAGGGCAGGGCCTGAGCACGCGGCCTCCTGGCTGGGGCCCAGCCCAGCACCGTGTCCCCCACCAGTGGGGCCTCCGCAGGCGTGTGGGATGGAATGGACAAGTGCCACACCCTGAGTGGCAAAGGACTATCTCATCACTTGGCCACCAGTGCCCTGAGCCTCCCAGGAGGGCTCTGAGCCCCGACAGTGCCAGGCCGGGGTGGGGGGGAGATGGCACGTCTCCAGGTCCACCTCCAACCCGGCTCCCGCCTCCAGCGAGCACAGGGCACCTGCTGAGAGCCTAATGGCCTGTGACAGGGCTGTGGTGGAGGGACAGGGCTCTGGGGCAGAGGCAAGCAGCCAGCTGAAACTGCTGCCATGGCTGCTGCCGCCCTCCAGTGTCCCTGTCCTGCTCCCTCCTCCACCCCCTGTCTTTGGGAGGTCCTGGTGGGCCACCCTCTGGGTTGCCATGCAGTGGGCAGAGGCCACCAGCGGTGCCAGTGTGAGAGGTGGGCTCCAAAGCAGTCCGTCCCTGGCTGAGAGAGAGGAGGACAGGAAAAGGCCAGCTTCGCTCAGGGACCAGCCTTCCTGTCCCCTCCCACAAGCAGCCAGAGTTTTCTACCCTGACCCTGGGCCAGAAGTTCACCATCTGCTGAGGCTTCCTGCAGGAGGGCGCTGAGCGGCTGGTCAGCGGGCCTGACCCCTCCAGCCAGCCCAGGAGCCAGGGCACCTTCCCTTCCCGACCCCGGCAGCCGGGTGTCTCTAAATGTCACTGTCCCTTGAGCGGGAGCCACTGTGGAGGCCCCTGAGCAACCCGGGGAGGTGGGACCTGCTATGTCCACACTCTCTGGGCTGCAGGTGGAAGTCTGCCCCAGGCCACTGGGATGGCAGCAAGCCCAGCTGGCAAGAAAGTGTCTGTCCTGACGTCGGTGGCGGCTGGAGGACGTCAAGGAGGAACATCAACAGCCTTTTCTTCTCCAGGGTGTGACCGATCTGGTTTCAGAGTTGGCACTCACTCGGGGACTGGGCCAGGCTCCTGCCAGGCCCTCCCACTGTTCAGAGGGACTCAAGGTCACCAGAGGCAGATAGCAGAGGTGACCAGGGAGGCACCCTGGGCAGCGGGATGAAAGAGCAGCGGGGCTGGGCTGGCGGGGAGACACCCCCGGGAGCCCGGGGAGGCACAAGGAGACACTGTGTGTCCAGGGGAGGAGGGGAGGCCTGCAGAGCCGCTGAGGCGGGAGGCACCAGAGGGCAGCTGGAGAGGCGAGGCCAGAGCCGGGTGGTGCCAGGCAGTGCCCTGAGAAGGTGCCCAGAGAGCAGCGCAGGGCCTCACAGCCCGGGACGGGGCGGGGTGGGGGGCTTCTTTTATCTCCAGACAACTGTGGGCCTTCCTCTGGGCCTTGACGGCTGGTCCTGCCCGACGGCTCAGGGAGAGACAGGAGTGGCCGGGTTCCCAGGCAGAGAGAGGGAACAGATTGCTCCTGTCCACCCTGTGGCCTGGCCTCTGGTGACCTTTCCCCACGCCTTCACCTTCACCAGGTCCCCCAGGCCCCGGGGCCCATCCATGCTCTGTGCTCCCCCCACTCCCAGACCCCACAGGAAAACCCGGGGGGAGACCCACGAGCCGGCCTCAGTTTACCTTTGGGAGGTCCCCCTCCTCTGAAATATATCTAGCTTGTGCCTTGCTGCTGTCCCAGCTAAGGTCACAGCCAAGGCCTATGAGGTCCAACTCCCTGGCCTCATTTCAGCCCCTGTCCCTTCTCACCGGGCTCCTCCCGCAGGGCCTTTGACTGGTACCTCCATCATCGGGCACCCTCTTCTTCCAAACAGCCCCATGGCTCCCCTCACCCCTCCGCTGAATCTTGGAGGCGGTTTGTTTTGTCTTGGTGCTGGGTGTCGAACCCAGGGACGCTTCACCTCTGAGTTTCTTGCTTTCTTTTTGGTTTTATTATGTTGAGACAGGATCTTGCTAAATCGCCCAGACTGGCCTCAAACTTGCAGTTCTCCTGCCTCGGCCTCACAAGCCACTGGGATGACAGGTGTGCACCACTGGACCGGCCCCGTCTAGCAAATCTTTGCTTAAATGTCACCATTTCACAGAGGCCTTTCCTGACCCTCACAGATTCCCCCAAATTGCAACATCCTCACACACTCCCAGGCCCTCCCCTGCTTCATTGTCCTCTTTTTATCACTTAGGCTGATTTATCGTGTTTTCTGTCCCCCAGACTAGAATACCAGCTTCCTGATGGTGTGGTTTCTTGTGTTTTGCCTACTGTATACTCCTAGTGTCACGGCCGTGCTTGGCCCTAGGAGATGCTCAGTAAGTAGTGCTTGGAGGAATCCACAGGAATTTGCTTTCTGTCCCTCCTGAGCTTGCTCAGGAGCTCTGCTTCACTGGAAGCTAAGACTTGCTGTGCCTCTGGCCCTGCTGGAACTTCAGGCCCAAGTCTGGGCAAGATGCAGCTTCCACTGGGCAGGGTGGCTCATGCCTATAATCCTCGTGACTTGGGAGGCTGGGGCAGGAGGATTGCAAGTTAGAGTCTAGCCTCAGCAATTGAGCCCTAAGCCATCACAGCAGCAAGACCCTGTCTCAAAATAAAAAAATAAAACGGGCTGGAGATGTGGTTCAGGGGTTGAATGTCCCTGGGTTCAATTCCCAGCATCCCTCCTGCCCCCCCTACCAAAAAAAGATGCCACTTTGAGCTGGTACCCAGAGGGGCAGCGGTACAGCAAGGGGTGCTTCCCTTACTGCTCTGGCCCTGGGGAGGAAAATAGTCTGCAAACTGGATGCTGTGTGTGTGCGACTCTGCTGCCTCCCAGGAAAACACACTGGGAAAAGAACTGAAAACAGCGCTTTCCTTGGCTTCTCTTTGAAAGGGCCACTTTCTGTGTTTCTGTGACCCCCTCAGCCGGGAGATACCCACCCACCCGCCTGAGCACAGGTGTGCACTGAGCATCCCATCGCCCCCAGCCTGGAGCACCGGAATCACCCAGAGAGCATCTGAGCAACATTTTAACCCAGTCCCAGTCTACCCTTTGAGCTGAGGGTTGAGGTCATTATTATTTTTTTTTTGCAGTCCTGGGGGGTCAAACCTGGGGCCAGAAACAGGCCAGGCAAGCCCTCTACCACTGAGCGACCACCCCAGCTCCCCACTTTTTAAATTCTTCTGTGATTCTAACGTTCAGCTGGGGTTGGGGACTGGGAGTCCAGGCAATGTCCTGGCCTGGTGGTGAGCTTTGGTGTCCCAGTTCCCAAGGAGCACCCAAAGTGAGCAGGGGTACCCCAAGATGCCAAGTCTGGTACCTCCAACCAGCGGAGTTGTGGGTCCGCACGGTTAGACTTCAGTTCACCCAGAAGTTAACTGTTTACACACTCACACACACACACACACACACACGTACACACACACCTGCACACCCCAAACTAGTTCTCGGGATGGTAGAATCGAAACCAGGATTTCCAAACTCAAATGCGAACTAGAACCACACAGGTACTAAAATTGGTTGCAGGAAGTGTTTGTGGAAATGTGGGCATCATGGGTGGACAGTCTGGGCCCTTCTCAGGGGGTGGCCTTGGTCTTTTAGGACCTGCTGTTGCCAAGAGGGGACGCAGGCTCCCGACACCACCTCTTTCTTCCTTATTCTCCCCAAGATAAACTCAGGTGCAGGGATTTAAAATGAAATAATCCATATTTCTGCTTCAAAATCCTGCTGTTACAAATGGCTTGCTGGCCTCAGCTACACAGTGGGGTCAGTGCTCCAAACCGTCTCTCGAGGGCAGAGTCCCTTCCTTCCTGTCATCCGTCAAGATCATAGGAAATGGCTTTTTCCCCCCAGACCCACGTGCTGTTTCACAGCTGATTCCCAGCACTGTCAAGAATCCCTGAAGCTTTGAAATAAAGGTCTGGCCCAAAGGTTGATGCAGCCTTCTCCACCCCAGGCCCCCACTCCAGCAAGGAAGGCGAGTAGAGGCGCAGCCAGGAAGTTCTCCCCCAGGACAAGTGGACAGGAGAACAGGAGGCCTGCGGCCACGTGTGGTCATCGTCTTACACTGGGGTTGGTCCTCCCCGGCAGGCCTTTCCAGTGAGGCCTAAACTCCCACGTAGACCTTGACATCCCCCCCCCCCGCCCCCAGATTCCCTCCAGACCCAGTTAATGTGATGTCAACTTAACTGCAATGGTGGCTTCTTAGGATTTTCTGTTCTCTTTTCATTGCAACGTAGTTCCCCACTGGATCCCAGGGAGCTGGGATGGTCTATATTCTTGTAATTCTCAAGGTCTACAAGACTCTGGTTTCTTATTAATTTTCTTTCTTTTTAATTTTTCTTTTCTTTTGTACAGGGAATTGAACCTTGGGGCGTTTAACCACTGAGCCACATCCCCAGCCCTTGTAATATTTTATTTTAGAGACAGGGTCTCCCTGAGTTGCTCAGGGCCTCACTAAGTTGCTGAGGCTGGCTTTGAACTCATGATCCTCCGGCCTCAGCCTCCTGAGCCACTGGGATGACAGGCATACGCCACAGTGCCCAGCTGATTTCCTGCTAATTTTCTATTAGTTTATCCTACTGCTTGGGGGCATATGCGTCTTCCTAAAGTTTTAATTCCTCAGGTGGTGCTACCATCAATAACACTGTATAATTCTTTTTTTTAAATTGGTTGTTCACAACATTACAAAGCTCTTGACATATTTCATACATTAGATTAAAGTGGGTTATCAACTCCCAATTTTACCCTAAATGTAGATTGCAGAATCACGTCGGTTACACACATCCACAATTTTACATAATGCCCAATTAGTAATTGTTGTATTCTGCTACCTTTCCTATCCCCTATTATCCCCGCCCCTTCCCTCACATCTTCTCTCTCTACCCCATCTGGGGTCAGTGGGCACTAACCCAGCCCAGAGCCAACTGCTTTCTAGCTCTGGAGACACATTGTTGGGTGGCTCAGGAGCATGAATGCCCAGCAAGACTTTTCCTCATTCAGTCATTTCAGTGAGCATGCTTTTCACTTCTAGAGGTTCTGTTTTCTTTTCAAATATACCTGTTCTTTTTTCTAGTACTTTCTTTTCATTTGAAACCCCCCCCCCGCCCCCCTGCTTTAAACTTTCTTTCAAATTGCTGTATTATCTTAGGTCCTTCTGTTTTGTCCACTCTGCTGATGGGATATGTCTTCCAATGGCTTGAAGTTTTTGTTTTGTTTTTGGTACTAGAGATTAAACCCAGGGGTACTTTACCAACTGAACCACATCCTTAGTTGTTTTTATTTTTACTTATTTTTTTGGAGACATGCTCTCACTGAGTTGCTGGTCCGGACCTTGCGATCCTTTTGACTCAGCCTGACATGTCAGTGGGATTATAGTCGTGTGCCACTGTGCCTGGCTTGCAGTTTTAAAATATCAAGTTTTTTACTTTTTCCTCCTGGTGTCCCTGTGAGCCCTGAGTTGTAGAGATACAGCTATAGCCCAGTGTTACATTTGCGTCTGCTTGGTATTCCTGCCCGTCTAGCAGGTTTAACTGACCTATTTTTACCCTCCCCTACCACTTTTGGAAATTGTTGAATTACTCAGAAATCATTTATTGAACATTTACTAGGTGTGTATTTGTTGCTATGGAAGATACAAAATAATGTATAAATAAAAAAAATAAAATACAACATAGCTCCCTTCCACGGAATCACTGTGGGAAATGGCCAAATCTACCCAAGGTCTGGTGGGGACAGGCAAGTTCAGAAGGAAACATAGACAGATGGAGGAAAGATGGAGAGGAACACCCAGCCAAGGAAAGGGTCTGCGTGAGGAGGTGTCAGGAGGAAGTTGAGGCCAATCACAGCCCTCACCCGATACCCATCAGTCCATCCCGAAGGTACAAGCATGGTGATTCCATTTTCTCTTAGAAACGTGTCATCACCAAGTGCCTGATGGCATTGTTCTGACACCTGCCTAGAAAGCTGGAAACCTGTGGATACCGCTGGTTATCGGTGACGAGTCCTGCTTCCCCACATGTGGAAGTTTGAACGTGAGAGAAGCACTCGGAGGCAAGTGGAGAGTGGAAAGTAGAAGCTTTATTAAAGGACAGCAGAA